CATAATCTTTATTAATTAAAATAAAAAAAACCAAGTATTTAACAAAATGAATTAAAATGTTAATGCAATATATTCATAAATTTCTTACTTTATTTCAGAAACATTATTTGATTAACAAGACGTAAACTGATTGGACTGAGTCGATTACGATCACAGGTGATTAGGTTTACAACATCTGAAAAAAGGCGTTCTGATGATATGAAGTTTCTAGTATGAAAAGATATTTTTGTGCAAGTTTTGCTAATTACAGATAATGAATTTTATTAGCTTTCCACCATTTAAAAAAGAAATATGAAAATAAAAATTGCAAAATATATAAAATTAAGAAAATTTTCAAATGCAGGCAAGTTTCTTCATTAAGGCATTTTGTAAATTCATCCTTCTCAACTGTTTAAACATTATTATTCTTTTTTACAAATAAAATGCTCATAACAGAAAAACCTAAAGTTGTAGGTGTTAAAGATTGTTCTATATCAGAAGATACTGTAAAAATTTGATATTCAACACGTAGTTCTTCAATAAATTGGTCTTTTGAATACTTAAATAAATAAATAAATAAATAAAGTAATTTTTTAAAAAAATAAATACGTACTTGATCAATAAAATATAAATCTTTGAAATGTGGATCATAAAATGCTTGCATATATTCCTATAATCCCATCTAATTGACAAATGCTCTTGGATCTCATCTCTTATGAATGCAAGGTATTCCAGTTCAGTTGAAAATTTCTTTACATTTTTCATTTTAAAAAAAAAAATTTAATTGTTTTGCAAATAATTTTGTCAGGTGTAGTGTAGATAGCATTTGTATAGTATTAAGAAAGTAAATAATTTAACACCCATTTTGTTTTTGTTTTTGTTTTGTTTTTTTAATAAATTGTTTACTACAAATTCGACCAGTATTTCTGCTTCTAGAATTTCTTATTAATAAACTATTTTAATTTGTTTCAAATTTCGCTTATAATATCCTATTTAACAATCAAATCCTTGATAATATATAATAAGTGAATCCATTGACGCTTTAAATTATAAAAAAATACTTTATTTAAAATATAACTAATATCATATATATTCTATTTACAGGAAAAATATATAAATTTGTTAAGACAAAGAAATAAATAATTCATATCACAATTAATTCATAAATCTTGAAAACAAGTTATCCCCAAACCAGCCATCACCAAATATGCCCTTAAAGAAACGTACTTGAAACTCTAAATCAGTTTTGTCATTAAGTTCAGGGTTAACCTGAGGAAAGAACGATAATCTTTTAGTTCCATACGGAAATACGTTATTAAAATATTCAGTTATTTCATTCCTCCTCACATACAAATTAAAATTACACTTCATAATATTCAAGGAGCTACCAAAATTTACTCGTTGCCCTTTTACAATCTTAAAAAGATCAAACTTAATATAAGCGATTCTCTCGCTGATTTCTTTGTTTTGTTCATATTCTGATTGAAAAGGGGCCAAAGATAATCCGATACCTTCGTGACTATGTGGATAAATAACAAGTCTCCATATATGCGTTTTATCGCGAGTTTCATTGCGTGAAGAAAATCTTTCGCTATAAATACCGTTAATATGTTCAGGATTGTAAAAGATGTCTTGAAAATCCGTAAATGTCCAAGAGTATGAAAAGTGTTGCATGTAGTAGATAGACTCGGGATATTCAATATATTTACATGAGACGCCTTCTTTGAATTCATTAAGGAATACATCTAAAATATAAAGGACACTATCCTTTAACATGAACATTAATAAAACAATGGATATAATAACGGCCTTATTCATTTTTTAGTTTAATGATTTAAGGTTGAAAGGAAAGAAGCACCACACCACACCACATAAATCATTTGTAGATCGTATATCTGTCGTGTGACTCAAATATGCAACTCTTATGATATGATGATGAAATACTACTTCTAAAGCATGTGAGATTATTCTTGTATTACAATGCACGAGAATATTTATATTTTTGTTTTGTTCTAATAAGTAAGGATTTTTAACTAGGGATCGGAATCGAAACTGCGAAAATCGCCAAGATCGAAAATCGAAACTAAAATCGATTAAAATTTTCAAATCGTTTAATTGTAACGATTTTAAATATATTTTTATTTAATCCGATTAATCGGCAAAAATCGATTACACAAAATAAATAAAAATAGATAAAAGTAGTAGATCTGGTTCTAATCAAACAAAATATTCTTCGGGTATATAACAAACATGTAGTGTATGGTAGTATATAGTAACCATTCATGCATGTATAGTATGTGTGGAATGCCTACAACAAATGAATGGAAAGTTATTAAAGAACTTGCTGAATTATTAAGTCCTTTTGAAATGGCTACACGACTTTTAAGTGGACAACAATATCCTACTCTTAGTCTGATTTATCCAACTATGCTATCCTTAAAAAATCTACTTTTAACAGATT